ACGGGCACGACGGGCAGCCCGTCCTTGTACCAGTTGAGCACGGGCGCGGGCTGGCCGGGCGGCTGCGGCGAGCACACGCACGGCAGCGTGGCCGACGAGCGCACGGGCAGCGTCTGGTTGAGCGGGCCCAGCGCGATGACGGGCGGCGGCCGCGGGTCGGGCGCGCGCAGCGACAGCACGGCGCGCCACGACACGCTGCCCACGTCCGACACGGCCGAGCACCACACCGACAGCCCGGCGTCCTCGCGGCCCACGGTCTGCAAGCACAGGAGAACACACGCGTCAGACACGGCAGAAAGTATTCAAAACGAACGACGTCTCGTCCAGAAATTGTTGGACAACAAACTCTCGGTGTCCATCTCTACGAGATGCCGCGTGCACTCTGCGGAGTGAATTTTACGGCGGGGTTTAGAGACAGCGCCCCCTTGCAAACAGGTCGGGGTTAGCGCGATAGAACACCGCGGTTAACGCCGCGTTAAGACTTTGACGACCAATCCGCTCAGGTCTCGGGTACGCGTCCGGAAAGGAGCGGAATGGTTTATGGATGGAGGTGTCCGAGTGGCCGTGCCGTCGGCCGTTACAAGGACGTAAAGCGGCTTGATGGCTGCCTTGGACGACTGGCTGGCGCGTCCGGGCTGGCAGCCGCCGGGCTGCGGGGGCAGGGCCTGGCCTGACCCGCCCCCCCAGCAAGCGGTTGCAGTTCCAAGTTACTCGAGTTGGGTTTGCGGATGGGAAAAGGATTGCCTTTCGGATGAGGAGGGGTACGGAGCTGAGGAGGGTGCTTGTGGAGAGCGACGATGTGCCGCGGCACTGAACTTCCTGCAGCAGCGGCGAGTGCGAGAGAGAGAGAGAGGGGTGGGAGGGGGGCGATACAGTAGCGCGCCCCGGCGACATCGGGGTGAGAGGGAGCGAGACGGTTAGAGGGAGAGTGACCATTACCCAGGCCGGGGTATACAGTCCGAGGGGTTCATACATAAATTAGGAGCAACGACAGGTCGACAAGGTCCAAGCCATTTAGAGCAGCTGTGGCCGGGACGGCGCGCCTCCTCCGCCGCGAGGGTGCCGCCGCGACGGACGGCGGAAGTTTCCTTGTATCGCGGAGTAAAATACGGCGCCGCGGTCGGCTCCAGCGGCGCTAGAGGCGGCCCCGGGAGGGCGGCCCGGGAGAGGCGGCCCCGGGAGAGGCGCACCCTCGGGCGGACACACGGACGGACCGACGGACTGACGGGACCGGGCGGCGCCACTGCTGTTGAAATAATGATGGTGGGCCGGCCGGGCCGTCATCAAAGAATTAATCCGCACCACGTGATGGATGGAACAGAGTGTAGGCCGGGGAGTCTGGCGAGTGCGCTCTCTCTCTCTCTCTCTCTCTCTCTCTCTCTCTCTCTCTCTCTCTCTCTCTCTCTCTCTCTCTCTCTCTCTTACTCACAAATACACACACATACACACGACAGAAAGCGGGAGAGTTCGGTGCTCGCAAATCCCACCTCTGCTCGGCGCCCCTATCCGCTACCCCCATGGCTGCCCCTCAGGGCTGAGCCATACGACCTTCGCCTTTCCTTCTCTCTCGCGCCCTCCCTTTCTTCTGTCTCTCCTTTTTACCCCCCTCCCCCCCCCTCTCTCTCTCTCCTAACCCCTTACTCTGAAACAACAGGTGCGTGATCGGCCCACGTTTGGAAAGAAATCAGCCGGGGAGCGTTGATCCTTCCGCAGCCCACAGTAAGAAGACGATGGGGCCACAATGTTGGAGTGAGAGAGAAAGGGAGTGAGAGACCGTGTGTGCAAGAGAAAGACAGAGAGAAAGAGAGAGAGAGACAGCTTGTTGTCGCAGAGCTGTAACGGAGCCGGTCCGTATGCGTGCAATAACCCTCAATTAAACGAGGCCCCAGAGAATTTATTTTGTTTCCGTGTGGTTGGCTCATGGCCCCGGTCTGGGGGAACATACTGTGTAAGCCTGGAGAGGCGGAAGAGGGGAGGGGGAGGGGGATACTGGGTAGGTGAGGATGAGACTACTACTGGCGCAATAAAAGGACTCAACTACACGCCCTCCCCCTCCTCCCCTCTCCCCGTGCTCCCTTTACGCCTGCAGCCCCACTTCATTCCTCTCTCGCTGCTGCAGGATTAAAATGCCTGCGGCAGCATAGGCCCGGGGCCCGCATGCCTCTCTCTCTCTCTCTCTCTCTCTCTCCTCTGTGCCTGACTTCCTCTCTTGTGAAGCGCAGGAAAAACGGAGGATGATAGTAAAACATTTCATAATGGGACGGTCGACAAAAAACAACAAAAAATAAAACACTGTTGTTTGCGTCACACCTGTGATGATGCATCACCGCATCAAGCGCAGCAATTAGACGTTGCAGCACAAGACGTGGAGCGGCGTGGCGCGGCCACACTATAGGGTAATTGCAATTTAATCCTGCTGATCTACGCCGTGCTGTGGGGGACCAGGGGAGCAAGGGGGTTGGGATACTGCAACCTCAGCAGCTTAACCCCGCGGCCGTTTGGTGGCACCGCGCCCCGCCCCGCCACTACCTGTCCCGCCATGGCCCGCTGCACCGCCCCTGTGCGCTCACATCGCTATTATTCGATGACCAAGCAGCAGCAGCAGCAGCCATCCCGCGCTGCGTTCCTGCCCCGCGATGTATAAATGTTGCGTATGCGATTCAATACAATGGCATTTCGAAACAAAGGAAAGACTTTTCTTTTGTGTCATCGATTTTATGCGCGCTCCACATATTTTTGCGCGCTGCACGGCGGCGGTGGCGTATAATTCGTCTGCTGCTCGTTTTGTGTTGTCCCCCGTGTATGAAAAATTGGCGCGGCTCAGCGATATAATGAACGACGCCCGGCCCGTCATCTCATCTGCATGCAAAACATAAAAGTTAGCGCGCGAAAGCTCTCCTTGTTGCGCGTGGCGGTACCATTCCGCAAGGGGGGCTGATCGTTGGAGGTGGAGGGGAGTGGGAGGGGGAGAAAAGGTTGCGTTATCCGGGTGGCTGAACGTTTACGCACAGCGCAGGGGGCGGGCAGGGAGCGGCGGGAGGATTTCGCGCGGGATGCCTACACACCGGGGGTACAAAAAGCTTTCGGGAGATTTACACAACGGCCCAGCTCGCTAGAGGCCACGGCGGCCTAGCTGGCAGCCGCCGCCGCTGCTCATACTGCTGTTGCAGAAGGCATATTTAGTTTTTTTAAAGTGCTCGTTCTGCTAGGCTGGGGCGCCAGCGGGGGATATGGAGGCGGTGAGCCTGCGGTGTACACAGACAGACAACGGTTATCGCTAGTCCGACCCCACCAAAGGGTGCTACTCGGTGCTCCACATCGCCAAGGAGAAAATAAAATGTTTGTTTATTTGTTGTCACGAAAAGATTGCTGACGCATAAAGTGGTTTGGGGTTTTAAACTGAAATATTTGTCATTTGTCTCAAAGTTTTCTAAAAGAAATGTACGTACTTGTGAAAATATTGTTTGAGTGTTTCACGGGATGATTGTAATTTTTCTTTTTGATATATCAACTTGCTATTTTTCCCCTACAAGCAATTAAATTAGCAGGTGTTAATTTACAACTGCTTTCTTTAATATACAATTATTTTCTTGGTGACAAAGTGAAATTAATGTTAATGTTCAAATGCTCGATATTCGAAGTTAACAAACGTACGTAAATAAATAGTGACTTTCCCCTTTAAAAATGTGCATCCTGTGACACGACAGTGTCCCTTTAGGGAGGAACCTCCGGGGTCGCAGGGGCCTTTTCCCCTCAGCATTCTGGTGCTGTTCGTATTCGTTTGGGCGGGCGGCGCGAGCACGAGCGCGAGCACGCACCGCGCTCACGGGCTTGTCTCACACGCTGCAGCAGCGGCCCGGCCCGGCTGCGGCCAGATAGAATACACATGGGGCGTACGGCAGCACTTACCGGCACGCTCGCAGCCCGTCCTGCGGAGCCCCAGGGGGAGGGGGGCACGGATTGGGTCAGGAAGCCAAACAGCAGGGGCGGCGGCGGTCGCATGGCTGAGCCGGGCCGAGCTCGGGGTAGACGCGGCTGCATATTTGCGTAGGATGGTCAACATTATATTTCCTTGCTGTCTGCGCCATCATGAACCCGACGCTGCTTCGGATGCGCAAGACGAAAATAAAGGCGCGCGAGGGGGGAGCTTACGAGTGTTGTCACTCAATTATTGTATCAAAGTTGAGTGAAAAACACCTGAGTGATAGTAGTACTTTTTCCAAAAAGAACCCTCTTGTCTTCTCTCTCCCTCTTTTTCTCGGAAGTAGTCCCGTCCCCGAGCCACGCGCGCTCCTTGAGGTAACGAAGATGGAGCAGCGGCAGAATCGAATGTCGCAGTCATGTCTAAACATCGTGTGACGCGGGGCGCGGTGGGGAGGAGGGTGGCGGCCACCACCACGCCCTCGCCTCACCCTCTTTCCCCGGCTTCTGCCCTACCTCTCTCCGGCAGAGAGCTCGGCAAACATTTCGCTAATTCAAACACATCTGGCCGTGATGGCGGCGTATGGCTTATTCACACACGTCGCACACCAAGAGGTTTATTCGACAAAAAAAAAAAAGGAATCGAAGAAAAAAATCTCGCGGCGTTAAAAGCAGCTAGTACGGGCACAAGGGCACAGCCACATCAAAACCCGCCGCTCTAGGATCGCATACGAGAACCTTTCATCGAAAGATATGAAAATATAAAAGCTATTTTTAACAAAATATTTGCTTTGAATATTAATCTTTTCCGTGCAGGCATCCGGTCCGGAGAAGCACCTTGGTGCAGCAGAGCAGAGAGGCGATATGAGGTCCGGGTGCAGTGGCGCTGCAACGCGCTGCAACGCCTCGGGGGAGCCCGCGTGTGCGGAGGCGGTGCGGAGGCGGTGCGGAGGCGATGCGGCGCCCCGTTGCCCATGCCCAGCCTCGGGCCCAGCTCAGTGCAATATTCCATTTTTCGATGGAAAGCGCGTCGACCCGATAGATTCGCCGAGAGCTCCCGCTGCACTTTTGGGAATTGCAAGCTCCGGCTCGGTTCGGACGGGCAAGGCCCGTTATATTTGCTGCAGAAAATCTCTTCACAGAGGCGAAATATGGCACCGACCCCTACATTGGTTTACCTACGTGCTATATTGTTCCCCGATATTCATTTCAACTCGAACGCATCGCGGGCATCAGTACGCATATTGTTGTAGAGATTATCTGCACATCCAAAGGTTCATGAGTAAAACCTAGATGTGGTTTAACACGCTTGAACAATCTGTTTGGTTTCGATGGAGTACACGTCAACTAACTCTCTACATTAGAGTGGATATGGTTTGATTTGTGATTACGAAATATACGCAATATTTTTCTTTGTCTAACCATAGGTAATCAAAAATAAAGCGCATCTATCCCATGGTCCATTGTGTACCAAGTACAGCGGTCATTTCAAGAAAGTATGACCAGATTCCTTCCGTTCCGCAACGTTGCAAATAAATACGGGGGAGGAGTCGGGCCATTTCGAACGAGAGGGTAAGAGATGGAATAAAGAGACTAGCAGCTGTGGGTCTTGTTGGGGTGGGGGCCGTACGGGTAAGGAGGAGGGACGGGGTGAGGAGGGGCGCAGGGGGAGGAAGAGGGCGCCCCGAGGCATGCCGGTGATTTGTCCTGTCCTCCTGTCCCCTATCGGCCGTATAAGAGGGCCCACCACGCCCCGCGCCGCCCCGCCCCGCCCTCTCGGCCCGACGGCGTTCTAGTGACCATCCCCCAGCGTTGATAAAGGGAAAAGAGCGTGGCCCTGGCCGACGTGCCGAGGCTAGTGCTGCCGACCGACCAACCGACCTTAGAGTTTTTCTTTGCCGCTCAGCAGGTTCTCACAGACAATCAGCAACAGGCAATTTCACCCGTTTTGTTGAAACCACTCGCGTACTTGCGAGCCCACTCACTATACACTATAAAAGTAAGTAGGATATACAGTCCGGCACAGGTGCACTGCGAATTTAGGAGATAGGCACACCCGCGTTGCTTTCAGTATCAAGAGAGCTCAAAATTTCGTCGCTCTCATAGGCCAACGTTTATGTTTTCGTCCTTTTAAGTATAGTGATTCATTTAATTTATGAACGTCCCAAAATTTTAACTTGTTGGGCAACGAAAAATAATTTCGTCCTTCTCTTTGTCGATCAGACACACGACTCCATGTAATTCGGGTGTACTTACAAGCAGCTACAAGCACTGGGTGCAACAAAGTTCATCGAACAGCACTATGCGCCGCCCGGGCCCGCGCGACCTGTGCAAAAGCCAAGCGGCGCAAGGGAGAGCCAAGGGGGTGGAGATAGGGAGCCTGGGCGTGGCGCCGCGGCGCGCTGCCGGCCGCAAGGAAAAGAATGAGACCAGATATGGAGGCTGCGCCGCGCCACGCCACGCCGCGCTACGTGCCTGGGAGACCGGGCCGCCTACCTGCAAACCACCACCACCACCGCCACCGCCATGCTGCATGAGAGCGGCGGGGAGGGGGAAGTCCCTAGACGAACAATTTTTCCTCCGTATGCAGCGTTCACCCCCCTCCTCCAACCCCCTTCCCTCCGACACAGTTAGAGTTGTCGGTCCGGGGACCGCAAGCCTGCAGCATGAGCGCTACAACATCCTCCTCACCGGTGCGCTATGCGGCGCACACAAGGACGGGACGCGCACCGCTAACAGCGAGGCTAACAGCCCCACGGGCGAGAGAAATGAACCTCGCACCGCACCAGAAACAAACGCACGGCGGGCCGGGGAAAATGCAGGGAATGCGGCACACACCATGTCCGGGGCGCCGGCCAGGGCCCCGGCTGTCCACTTTCCGTCCTCGGGAAAGGGGTTGAGGTGGGCGGAGGAGGGGAGCCCTACCGGACAACACGAGCAGGGCGTGAGGGAGGGGTGGCGGCGCTGGGGGCTCCACGGGGCCAGGGACCGCCCGGCCCGGCCCGGCCAAGGGACAGCAAAGCCTGCAATTTATCGCAGCTCGTGTGGACTGGATACATAGCCGGGCGCGGGGGACGCCGGGTGGGCGAGGCGGGCGGGCGGGGGAGGGAGATCTTGTCACGTTCCTCACATGAAAAAATAGAGCATTTTAGGTGATTGGGAGGGCAGGGCGGAGCGGGGCGGAGGAGCGGCCGGAGCACACGCGCCGCCGCCTGCGCAGAGAGAGATAGCAGCACGCCCAGGGCGGGCGGTTTGGGCGGGGCAGCGGGAGTGAGAGAGAGGGAAGGAGAGGGCAGCGGCCGGGGCGAGCCAGGACGACCGGCCGGGGGGCAGAAACACACGAGCGCACCGAAAAATTAAAAGAGAGGGGGGAAATACGGGGGCGCGGCGACATGTTCGAGGACGTGACACCAGTCCGATGGGGTGACAGGCGGCCGGGGAAGGCCAGAGAGAGCGAAAGGGTTCCAATCTATAAATAACGGAGAGTGAGAGCGAGAGCGTTTCCATGTCCGTCGAGCGACCTCGCGGCCCGCGGGATGCGCGCACCGCGCGCTGTCCGGCGTCCGTCCACGTCGCATGGATTATCAATGGCGCTGTGGAGCCGGCCAACAGGCCGGGATTGCAGTATTTAAGTGCCTTATTGCGGCAATTTCGAGAAATAAGCCCGTCACTCGTCACTCGCAGTTTTCACTCGGGAAAAGAAACAATGTAAAGTAGACAGCGACTGCGCGACGCGAGACGCTATCCCCCTGCTTCTCCCACCCCCCGGCCCCGGCGCCTACAACTATCACGACCGCACCAAACAGTAACAGCGGGCGCGCAGCTCCACGCAATCTGCCACTAAGCTCCGCCGCGCCGACGAGGAGCGTGTGGCTGTTTGCTCCCCGACGAGTCAACATTTGCCCCGACACACCGCGCGGCGGGCCGGGCCCCACAGCACCGTCGACACGCCCCCCAATACAGCCCCGCAGCACCCAAACCCCCCCCAGGGGATGAAACACGAAGACGACGACGCTCACCTTGAGCACCAGCAGCGCGTTGCCCGACGGCGATGTGGACGCCAGGAACCTTCCGCGGCGGTCGCCCTTGAAGAGCAGCACCCGGCCGGCCTGGCCGTCGTCGCGGAGCTCCGAGTTGGTGGACGACGGCGGAGGCGGCGGGGGCGGCTGCGGTGGTGGCGCGTCGGGGATGTCCGGGCCGTCGGGGGCGTCGCCGGGGACGGCGGCGGCCGGCGGCCGGGGCGGCTCTAGCGCCCAGAACACCATGGGCCGAGGCACGCCGGCCGCCCCGCACTCCCAGGTCGCGTCCCGGCCCAGCGCCACGCTCGCGTCCCGCGGCCGGTGCGACAGCGACGGTGGCGCTGTGGACATACGCAGGACTCGCATTATTGGGCGCAGAAGCAGCCCAGCAGGCCAGCAGGGCCTGCCTGGTCAGCGCGATGCCTGTAATGTGCTCGGCAAGCACCCTTCGGGACATGAGATAAACATGACGTAAGGCGGAAGGGGCCGCCGGCAACGAGGACAGCTTGGGTGGGGTAACGACACAAACAACAGATTTGGGAACTACGCTCCAAAATGGTTTTAAGGGCATACACTCGGGCAAACAGTACTTGAGGTGTAAAGCGAAAGAAGGGAATAGGTGCGAAATACGAACATTTCAGGAAATCAAATAAACTATCGACGAATAACTTTCTAGAAATGCAGTTGGAATGCACTTCCAGAAAGAACGTTACTGGCACTTTAAAATTTTTCACAATCACGCCCCTTCATGGAGTTTTAGGAATTGTCTCTTTTCTCCAACGAAACATAAGGATACAAGTCAACTTAACTCTTTTCACACATTCAGAATTTGGAGTTATGTCATCGGAAAATTGGCAAGAGGGGTTAAGTCGAGATAACTTTTCATGCATGAGATGCAAAAGGAGGAAGGAGAAGGAGGTAAGTCAAATTAATTTTTCCTCTATTAATAATCTTCCAGCTTTTGAGAAAACCGAGGTAATGCATCAGGTGATACGTACATTGCTATTTTAAAGTTGCTCTTATGAATGTGGTATTTAACAATAAGCAACCCAGCCGAAAATTCCGGTTACGGTTACGGCTACGGTTACGGCTACGGTTACGACTACGGTTACGGTTACACTCGTAAATTGGACCCATTTCCGGTTACGGTTACGGTTACGATTAAAGTTCCGGTTACGATTACGTTTTCTGTTTCGGATACGATTACGGTTAGTCAGCCCGGTTACGGTGAGAACGTTCCGGTTACGGTGATGACGTATTGGCAGTAACTCAAAGCCCCCATGAGACCAGAGCACAGGTCGTCCGTGTAAACTTTTGACGCCGAGCACAATGGTGGTGTTTTCGTTGCGGTATCTCTAACAGTTCTCAAGATAGCCAGGGGTTGAAAAATCGACTCTTTCCAAACTCCACACATAGGTTTGACTTGTGTTTCCCTTACGTTACCCTTAACCGTTTCTCCCTGCAAAGCTTAGTTTAAGCGCTACGACGTTTCAAAGTTTGATATTTTCCGGTTACGATCGTAATCGTTTAACATTACTCGTAACCGTAACTGCTGACCGTAACCGGGCTACGGTTACGGTCGTATTCGTAAGCTTACTCGTAACCGTAAGGGTAAACCGTAATTGAACTCCGGTTACGATCGTAATCGTAAATTTTAACCGTAACCGGAGCAAATTACGGCCGTAATCGTAAATTTTGACCGTAACCGTAGCAAATTACGGCCGTAATCGTAAATTCTGGCCGTAACCGTAACCGGAATTTCCGGCTGGGAAGTTCATGTTCACTTCTTGTAAAGCTACATGATAGTGACGAGGTCAGGTCACATCACTTTCAACTCTATGTCTTTGATGTTCGAATCACGGGTCAAAGCAAAAAGCAAACAAATCAAAATACTTGCGGGGGGGGGGATGAACTATGGGCAGGGAATAGCGAGGGGACCACATCGATTTGGGATGTACACAGGATTACGTGATTACAAGGATTACACCTAAATGTTGAGGGATTACACACGCATTTTGTTGAATTTCTGGTTCTAAAACCATTAAATTGGGACAATAAGGTAAAATTTAGTGATACTGGTTAAAAATTTAGTAAAGTATTACACGAAATACATAAGGGTTACATAGGGATTACACCTTCATCTGTATACACAGGATTACGCGAGTGGTGGCCCCCTCGGGGAATAGAGCTATTGACAACAATACAATTTCTCATAACCGGCAAATCACAGCAAACAGCATAAGTAGACATCTTTATACATTGATGTTTTAAATTAAGAATAGTTAGTCTATAGGTTATGGCGTGTTAAGTAATGGGAATATTTCTGAAAGTTCATATCAAGAAAACTAGCCCCAAACACTCATGATTAGTTGTTTAAATACCGGTTCTAACTTGAATGGAAACGATGAATTGTCGTTCTGTACTAAAAAATATGCTCGGTTTTACAATAAAAAATTTGTCCTATACTTACAGTGGACGATGACCCTGGCCGAGGCGGACACGGTGCCGACGGGGTTGTCGGCCTCGCAGATGTAGACGCCGGCGTCCTCCGGGTGCGAGGGGTGCACCCGCAGCGTGCGGTCGTCGAGCACGTGCACGCGCGCCAGCGGCATGCTCCCGCGCTCGCGCCGCCACATCACATCCGGGAGGGGGTCGCCGCTCACCCGGCACGACAGCTCCAGCGGCGACCCGGCCAGCACCACCGTGTCCACGGGGCCGGCCACGATCTGCGGCTTAACTGCAACAAACATCAACGGAGGGTTCAAAAAAATTGATAGGAAAAATCTGCTTCTCTCTATATAGGTTAGACGATGCGGGCATCGAGCCAGGAGTGGAGGGGATGGGGGGGGGGGGACGCTCCAGAGATTGTAGAGAACTCCCATCATCCTGCACTTCAGCGCTCTCATCTCCCGGGGATAAAGTTGGGCCGGGGGGCCCCCCAGCTCCGGGCCGCTCCCCGGCCGCTGCCGCCCGGCCCGCTCAGCCGCCCACCACCTGCCACACACTACACCAAGCAGTCCTACTTTTTCCCATTTCCATGATACATCGGGGAGGAAAGTGGAAGTGATGCCTTGCTGCGCAGCTGGCTAACCAAACACCAACTCGCAACATGACGTCAGCCCCCCTGCTACCCCCAGCCCCCTCTATCGGCCACGAGAGGATCCTTGGGCCGGGCTGCAAGTTAGCAGCAAGACATCGCCTCGGCCTGGCCGGGCCCGGGCCCCCTGGAGGCCAATCCCTCACCAAGCAACAACATGAGTTCGGCCCTTTCGCTAGCTGGCGCCCCGCCCCGCCCAACACACGCCCAACACACAGCGCGAAATAAAGAACGGCACATTATTCATTCCAGGCTTAACTCGCCGCGTATGAGGGTTTATGGTCTCCGCTAAGTACAATCATTTCACTAATCATGTTTATTACTGTCATAATTATTGTTCATAACTGTATCGCATAACCCAGCAAAACAGTCCCATGGAGCACTGCCCTTCTTTTTGGTTTGTTTTCAGCCCCGCCCTCCCCGTCCGTCCGCCCGCCCGGTACACGTCCAGTCCACTGAGCCCGTCCTGTCGGCCTGTGCGCCCGTCCAGCCGCCCGCTCTCTGGGAGCTCATCCGTTGAATTGACCCATTTTCCCGCTGCGCCGCGCTTGTGCTAGTGCTGCGCTCGCTGCGCTTGTCCTGCGCTCTGCCCGCCCGCTGCTCTGCTGCCCCGTCAAGTGACCCACATACGG